CTAGTATGAGTCTTCAGCTTAGTGAGCTTTTAAAGGAAGTAAGAATCTAAATGTACACAGAGAAAATGCATACTACCCACATTTATCCTAAAAAGCTTTTGCCTGGCTTTTAAGTGAGTTAATACTAAAAATACATAGTTTGTTGTTTACTTGGGGTGCAGCTTATCATATCCTTCTTGGCACATAATTGCATTATCTTTGATATATTAGACCAGAGAAGGCTTAGAAGTTGCATGAAATAGATTGAAAAATATCAAATTGGGATATCTATCCTGGAATATCCCATTTCCTTTTGACTTTACAATGTGCTGGCACAAAGATCCAAATTGATATATTATTGCCTTTTGGTATTTGTTTATTTCTTTGTTTGTTTGTTGTGCTGGTACTGGGGCTTGAATTCAGGACTTCTCTCTGGTCTTTCCTACCCACTGCCAGCTCTCTATCACTTGGGCCACAACACGTCCAGCTTCAGCTTTTTGCTGGTAGTCTCCTAAATTTCCCTATTTGCGATGGCTTTGAACCTGGATTCTCAGATCTCTGCCTCATGAGTAGCTAGGATGAAAAGCATGAGCTACCAGCACCTGGTTATATATTGCCTTTTTAACCTCTGTAAGTTGGCCTTTGATGTTCAATTTAATTTAATTTGAATGTATATTTTAGATAGAATGAAACACAAAAATTGTAGTTATATTGAGGTCTTAAGACTGTGGATTTGCTTCAGCAAATAATCCCTCACTCAAAAACAAACAAAGACCTTGCACATATTTGGGATTGTCTTTCCTTTTACGGGACTGTTCACCTAGGTGCTGGTGAAGTCTGGAATTCTCACCTCATAGGTGCTGAGGTACTGAGCGATGCTTTTCCCAAGATGGCACTGCATTGGTTTTCTAGTTTTACTGTGCCTTACACGTGTATCTTACTAACCAGGAGCCAGTGGCTTGCACCTGTATTCTAGGTACTCAGGAGGCTGAGATCTAAGGATCAGGGTTCAAAGCCAACCTATGGAGGGAAGTCCATGAGATCCTTATCTCCAACTAACCACTAAAAAATCAGAAGTGGCACTGTGACTCAAAGTGGCAGAGTACTAGCCTTGAGTGAAAAAGCTCAGGGACAGTGCCCAGGGCCCTAAGTTCAAGACCCAGGCTTTTTGTCAGTTCAACCAAAAAAAATTAATTTTTGTGTCATACTATATCTTACTAAGTATATCTTACACACAGGATAGGGGCAGATTGAAGTGGCACTCAGGAACTGTTTCCAAAATCCCATAAACTGTAAATTGAAAATTAGGGAGTTAGAAAAAGTATATCTGGTACAAATGATCACTTTAGACCTTTCAAAACCAAAGAAACACTAATTTTAAAGTATCTGTTCAGGGTTTGAGTATCCAGATTTGTTGATTTCTTAAGTCCATGTCTAATTCTAGGCAGAGTAGGGCAAGGTTCAAGCTGGTTAAAGGAAGCCTGGTATCACAATGACTTCACAGTCTCCAGAGGCTAGGAGGCAACTTGCAAAGAACCACTAGATAACTGGATATTTGGCAAACTGCCAGGTAATTGGCATCCTGATGGCTAGAGACAAATGGTCTTGTCTTTCAGACACATCATTATTTTCAGTTACATAATAAACCATTTCTTCTTTTCATTCATGACTTAACATTTCTAGGTCAGACTTGGTAACCCTGGAAAGTCAGAAATAATTGTCACAAATCCAGACTTTCCCCTGAGTGCTAGGAAAATCCAAGGTCCCACAAGACTTTTGTGGAAAGAAAAAGAAAAAGCTCTGTGTATGTGTATGTGTGTGTGTGTGTGTGTGTGTGTGTGTGTAGAGACAGACAGACAGACAGACAAACAGAAACAGAGAAAGACAGAAACAGAGATAGAGACAAAGAGAGAACTTGACCTTTGATGAATACTCTGAAGGGGAAAATTATGTCTTCCCAAGGCTTTCCCATCTTTCCTTGGACTTTTCTTCCCATGTGCTCACTCAGCCTACCAGACTATTCATGATGGCTAGGGCTCAGTCATCAGCCTTGTATTTCTTCGCACTATTTGGCATGTAATATCACACTTCCCAACTGGCCTCGGCTTCTTGAGTTAATGGTAGTATGAGCCTTACGTCCTTACCTAAAATTTTCCTTCTCCTTGGTTGTTCTCCAATCACTAAATTCACAAGTACTTTATGCGCACAATCTGGCTCTCATTTCCAAGACCCTGTTAGATGTCATTACTAATCCTAACCGTAAATATTTGTTGAGCACTGGGCTGTGATGGCCTCCAGGGGTCTTTGGTAAGTTCCAAACACTTCAATGTTCAGGACGGACGGATGTGAAGCTCTGAGAAGAAAGATTCAACCGTTTCTTTGTATTGTATCAGCCTATAGCGTGCTTTTAATAAAAAACAATCCTCTGTCAAAGGTCAGAAGATTGTGGTCATCTTTTCTCAAGACTGTATTGGGAGGGATGTTCTAGCAGGTGAATTTATTGACATTGGAGTAGAACTTATTTTTGTGAAGACACTATGTTGAAAATGAGGGAGGAGTTGGGGAGGTGGGGAGGGAAGGGATCGTAGGGGGGAAACAAAGAGGGAGTAACAATGCTCAATAGGAAAGGTACTCATTACCTTACTCAAGTCACTGTAACCCCTCTGTACAGTATCTTTACAATAAAAAAGTTTTAAAACATTCTTCTATCCTCCTCTATAAGCAACGGCTGACCACCTGCACTGTGTCTGGTATAAAACTAATTGTGAGATCATGCAAGCCGGAGAAAGACACATGACGTTAGAATGATTCCACTTAGTAAAACATGAATAAGAGATCATTTCTCCCACAAGAAACCAGAGGAAAGGACAGGAACTGACCTTTCATGCTCTCAGCCCTCCTTGTGAAGGATCCCTACCCATTCAGGACCTTAAGACATCAACATTGGAAAAGAAGCCTCTAAGTCACATTGCAGCATGTGGTTTGCTTTCTTAGTCAGCTATTACCTGGCTGCAGAATTATTTTAACACTTGAAAGCAGAGCCCCACAGGGAGGCTAACATACAACTCTTCGGATACTCAGAGGGTCTGTGGCCTAATCAGGTCCCCTCTTAAAGCCCATGCATCTGGACGGTGTGGCGAGTTCAGTCAGAATGTCTCTGCATCACCAGGGAGAAAACAGTATCCATGTGCTGCGCACTGGAAAACAAGAAACTACCACAAAACATACCGGAACTGAACCACACGTTCAAGCTGAGAGGTAGTGAAATGTGTCTCTTTGAGGAGGTAAATGATCACGTTCAGCCTAATGTTGATTTCTGACATTCAGATTTCTTTTAGGCAAAGCTTTCTTTTTAAATCCTCTCTCTCAGTCTCTCGCTCTCAGTCTCTCTCTCTTTCTCTCTCTCTCCTCTTCTTTGGTAGGTCATGAGGCTTAAATTGGGGGCCTGGGCACTGTCCTTCAGCTCAAAGCTAGTTCCTAGTGCTCTACTAGTTGAGCTACAGTGCCATTTCTGGTTTTCTGGTGGTGAATTGCACAGACATTGCTGCCTTCTTCAAACCCTGATCCTGAGATCTCAGCCTCCTGAGTAGCTAGGATTACAGGCTTGAGCTGCCAACACCTGGCTTATCTTTCCTTTTTGTAATGAATATTTTTATTACCTTTAGTCCTACAAAAGAGTTGCCATTCAACAAAGCAGTTTATGAATACAGTGCATTGTGATCAATGTCACCCTTCCAACATTCTCACCCACCCCTCCCACACCATCACTTTTCTTAATTTTTAGGATATATATTGGGTTGATTTTTGCCATTTGCCAACAAAGACATTTATGTATATTAAATGCAACTTCTGTGTCATCCACCCACTTTCCCTTATTTTTCTCAATTCTCTGATTGTATACAGTGAATCAGTCTCCTTTTTCCCCTTCATTCACCTATCCCTCTCCTCTTAACCCTACCATGCCTTTTGTAAGAACCCATTTCCTGGTATGCTTAAATAGTATAATTCTTCCAAAAGACAAAATCAAAGCCCAAGATCCAATGCTTTTAACATTTCATGGGAAAATGATAAAAAATAAAATAAAATAAAAAGCCCCGTTGGTTGGGAATTCCAGGGTGAAGCATTAAGAGACTTTAGTTGTTCTGGATAAAATAACAAGAAGGATCCTCTTGGCAATAGCCCTACTTCTAAATATGTATTTAATTATCCCATTACTTTTGGATTAGTAATACTTGTATGTAATCGGGGCTGCTGTGGTATGGTCTGGTGGTTATCAGTTCAATATTCTGCCTGGAGAAACTCCACATCATGTGAACTATGTAACATAAAAAAAAAAAAGCAACAAGGCACAAATGTCTTTTTCTCCCAGCTTTACTTTAGGGAAACATGCCAAAAGTAGATGATATATTCCACCCATTCACTGAGGACGGGGAAGAAAAAGGAAATGGGAGCTTTCATTGTTAAAAGGGTTGTAAGGAAAATGTGAACTTTCCCATATGCTTTGTCAGCAACTTTAACTTCTGATTTCATAGTCTCTGCAAGTTTTAAAAACTTGCACAGTTTAAAAAAAATTAGTTCGTCGTATCTTTTGTAGTTATCAGATTGAACATTGTTTCCAGAGGGAACATTCACCTTGCGATTGTTGTGTGGAATGGCTGTGACAACTGTGATTTAAAAAGAAAATCAAACATTAATGTCACTTCAGACTATTCCATAAAACAAAGACAAAAGCATGTCCATAACAAACTTCTAATGTACTACAGGATCTGGCTAAAATATGAATGTGCCACAAGTGGCTGTTTTTCATGCGATTAAAAATAAAATCTCTTCTTTACAGTGAGACAAAAAGCAACTCAGAGTCCTCAGGAAATAGAAGAAACTTAAACAGATTTTCTCTCTGGCAGCTTGAAGTTGCTAATGTTTCTTGGAAAGCATTCAGATTCCCAGGTTGATACACACAGCGTCCCCTCCCACAGCCCTGCCATGTATATAAACTCTGCTCTCCAAAGCCCATTGCCAGTTCTCTTCGAGGATTAACTGGAGAGACTAAAGATGATTCCTTTCTTAGCCACATTTGCTCTGCTCCTGCTGTGCACTGTTAACCCTGCAGTTGCCAACGGTTATTATGACAAGGTGTTGGCTCACAGCCGGATCAGGGGCCGAGATCAGGGGTAAGTCATTGGCTTGTTTGATATACTTCTTCCACCTTTACCTTATTAGATGAACAAGACTATATACAGTCCCTTATATGTATACTTCAAAGTGTGTTTTTCTACTTGTTCATGGCGCTGAGAGGAGCAAATAATGACTATTTTATGATTTATATTATATATTTTAAACCAAATTTTATTTGTTTTATTACCAAAATACCTTGAAGTATTACTGCTTTATATTCACTGTTCACCTAATGAACAAAAGGCATTCCTTTACAATTCAGTTTACTTGTGTTTTCAATTCTTTCCAAAATTCTGGCATGGAATTTTCAAACTTAAAGTATCTCATGTTAGAGACAATCATGTGAAGAGCTTTGAAATAGCTCCTGCAAATGTCAGAGCACATTTCATGTAAATTAAATATGAAGGTTAAATACCAGGCAATGAGACTAGTTCTCTTCCTTACATGTCTGACACTACTCACTTCAAAAAGTGACTAGGTATGACTTAGACCTGACTAAGTAACTTTGCCAGGCCCTTAGACTTTAGTGGATATGGACATTTGTTCCTTTGTCTCACAGTAAAAAGACAACTTCCAAATTGTTAAGAGAAAAAAAAAAGCCCACATTTAGAGCTGTGGGAGAGGATGATTAGACTTACTGCTTCCATTCACAGAAATATATCTTCCTTTATGCATCTCTCTTGTTCAGAAGTTAATTGGAGTACCGTTATTTCTGTAACTACCTAGGAAATTAGAGAGTTAGAATATCTGTGCATAATAAAACTTGGATCTTTTGATCTCACATTCCCAGAGAGTCTGAAGTCATCCTCATCCTCCAAATGAGTTTGTGTTAAAAGACACATTAAAAAGTATGTGTGAGTATTCCACGTAGGTTAACTTTTTGAACTATTTGGTTTTTGGCTCTCAGAGAATGATTTCTTCCACCACATGTACATCCCCATAGAATTCAGCAGGATTGGACCAGGAATTAGAATTAGATTTGTTCCACCTAAAGCTACATCTTTAAAAATTAAATGCATAAATTAACTTTTTTTTAAAAGCATCTGAGTAATCACTATGAAAATGTAATCTCCATTAGAACATTAATTCTTTCTCTACCCTCCATTTTCCAGCCCAAATGTCTGTGCCCTCCAACAGATTCTGGGCACCAAGAAGAAATACTTTAGCTCTTGCAAGAGTTGGTATCAAGGTGCCATCTGCGGGAAGAAAACGTAAGTCCCATCTTTCTTACCTGCCAGTTCCACGGATAACAATGATTTACATGCTTCTTGTTGAGTATATGCATATATATATATATATACATATATATGTATATATATATATATGTATATGTATGTATATTTGAAAATACTTCCCAAATTGCCATCTTTTAAAAGAAGAGATCAGATGGATGCCGGTGGCTCATGCTGTAATCCTAGCTCATCAGGAGAATGAGTCTGAGGGTCATGGTTTTAAGCCAGCTCAAACAGAAAAGCCTGGTTAATCTCCAATTATCCATCAAAAAGCTAGAAGTGGAGGTGGTATTGCTCAAGGGGAAGGACAGCAGACTTGAGCCAAAGACTACCAAGAGCATAAGGTTCCAAGTTTAAGCCCTACCTGGTACCAGCGGGCATGCACACACACACACACACACACATACACACACACACACACACACACACACCAAAAATAATGGAAAAAGGAAAAAGAATCATATATAGATAAAGAAACTTCCTCCTGCACTTCTACTAGTGGAACTCAAATTTCTCCCCAAATCCACATGTGTTAGAAGCCACACAGAGGTAAATCACATGACAATGTGCTTTCCTATGAAATCAGAATGAAAGACAGGTTACGCTGCCTCTCCTCTTTTCTCTTCCTTCTCCCCCTTCTTTTATATTCTAGTTGACACACTTGTTTATTCTACCATAAATATTGATGGGAAAAATAAAAGTGCAGGAGATATAAATGGCAAGAACTGCTTATGTGGTCCAAATTGGTCACAGGTAGTGACAGGTAGGATAGGTAGCTAAAGCATAATATCTATATATCATCTATCTATCTATACCTATATCATCTCCCTATCTCTATCTAGCTCTGTATCTATAGCTATACCTATCTATCCACATCTCTATCTATCTATCTCTATGTATCTATGTATTCTTCTAAGAAGAAATACAGTCTTAGCTGGGTTATGAATCCCAATAGCAACCTAAGTCTAGGAACCACAGGATTTGGCATCTGGTATTCATTGACTTCACAGATTTGTACCGGATTTTAGTGGGGGAGAGGGTAACTGGAGCTTGCACTCAGGGCCTGGGCACTGTCCCTTCACTTTTATACTCAGGCTGGCACTCTACCACTGAGCCACATTGCTACTTCTGGTTTGTTTGTTAGTTAACTGGATTTAAGAGTCTCATGGACTTTCTTCCCTGAGCTGGCTTGGAACCATGATCCTCAGATCTCAGCCTCCTAAGATCTAGGATTTAGGATACAGACACAGGCATGAGCCACTAACACCCAGCTGGATACTTTTTTGACCTAGACATTGTTCCTACTCACTTGCAGACATCTGCTAGGCTTGTGAGTCATTCACACACTTATTCTGCAAGTCTGTGTTCACAATGGTATTCCCACCCTTCTAGTCAGCCTTCAGTTGGGAACTCTAAGTCTCTAGATTCTCCTTTGTTCTTTCACTGTAGAATATTGTAAGACATATTTGGAATACACACTAATTACAAAAGAAAGGGCATGCACTCCAAATTTTTAGGGGGAAAAATTTTATTGCATCCTTCCTGGAAGCTAAGGAATATGCTGTAATCATACTTTAACTATCTAATTATATTAGAAATGCCAAAGTTTATGTAGAACATAAGCCAAGATTCTTTCTTGTGTTCCTTTAAAAAAAAATCCTGCTTCAAAGTTTGGCCTCTTACCAGAAATGTAACAGTGTCTCCTTTGTTAAATTATATTAGCGAATTTTCCCCAAGCGTTTTATTTTCACAAGCACTTTACATCTGAAGTTAACGCAAAGGCTACTTTCAGATAACCAGAGAAAACACTGACAAGAAGAAGGCCTGGCTTGCCAACTGCTCACTTCTCTTACAGTTTCCAGAAACATCTTTAAGACTTTGTATATCTGTTGACAAAATTGTGTGCCTTCTGATTGAACTGTTGCTTTGGAAATTTTAGGGAAGTAATGAGAAAGTCTAATGAGAAACAAGAACTGTCCTAGATTTAATATACTGGGCACAATATATATTGGTCCAGTAACAAAGTTCTCTAAAAATGCCCTATAGAATGGAAGTGCCATTTTCCATTGCTGTTCTATGAAATTTTGGTTTCTATTCCAAAAATGAAGGTAATAGAAAATAATACAAATGAAACAATAAGTTTCTCTCTTACTGCAGAAAAAAAGAATTAAGAAATTTTAAAGCTTATATTAACATAATGAAATTTCATTGATCATTCAAATGACGTAACATTATTTATCTGCATTAGAAATCAAATTTTGTAGAGTATCACCACTCCCCTGTGAGCACAAACTATTGATACTGAATCCATCTCTAATAGTTGAGACATCTTTCTACCAAGTAGTGGGATTAAGATTCTAGAATATTTCCCCTTCAGAGAGAAGTCAAACTAATATAAATATATTGGTCCCAGAATATGGGAATAAAACAAAATCGTAGAAATAAATGGTATACGTGTAAGTTCACATTGAATGTATCGTAAGCATTTATCCATTTTAATGTTTCTTTTCTCCCAACATATAGGACCGTAACATATGAATGCTGTCCTGGTTATATGAGAATGGAGGGAATGAAAGGCTGCCCAGCAGGTAAAAAAAAAAATCAAACTAAATTTTCTGAATTAAGTGAGAAACTTGTCTTGTGGGAGAAAAAAAAGTTGAAAGAACAGGTAGAGAAGTCACTTGTATGTGTGTGCATCTATGTAGCACCATCATAAATCAAAGTTCTCCAACTCTTTGTCCTAATTATGTGTTTATTATAATGATAAAGTATTGTTACACACTCAATGTTGGATAATACAGAAGAAGCCTAATTTGAATCTCAGTGTAAAGTAGTTCAATTGTCCCTCAATAAAAAGTCTCTACAAAAATCCCTTTTGTAAGCCAGAAGCCAGTGACTCATGCCTATAATCCTAGCTACTCAGGAGGCTGAGATCTGAGGATTGCAGTTCACAGCCAGCCTGGGCAGGAAAGTCCATGAGACTCTTATCTTCAATTAATCACAGAAAAAACTGGAAGTGGTGCTGTGGCCCAAATCTTAGAGCACTAGCCTTGAGCAAGAGGAGATCAGGGACAGCACTAAGGCAGAGTTCAAGTCCCAGGACTGGCAAAAAGAGAAAAGAATCCTTTTTTGTTGGATTTGTTTACAACCATGGCCCTTGCTACTTAGCAAGGTAACATCTTCCCTAGTTTGAACAGCTGTCAACTAGAGAAGAAAATAGCTTATACATTCCCTCTGGAATTTTAGACATTTAAATATTAATTCTGTCATCTCATCTAAGACTCTGAACAAATGTAGTAACTATTTCCTCCTTGATGGGTGTTCAAAATCATACCTTATCAGATAAGGTCAGAATAATAAGCTGGATGCACACAAAAGATATATCTTTTCAGATTAGCATTTAAACATTAGTCTCTTTGTCACTCAGAATAAACATTCTGAAAGTGTTACTTTCCTCTGTTTTCTTGATAAAATCAAAATGAAAAGAAGCTGATCAATATATTGCCTTTTAAAAACCCCAAATTTAAATAATGATCAAATGACTTACTATCTTCTAATCAGTAAGATAGAAATTGTTACCTTTGCCCTCATCAAAGAGAGCTTTGTTCTTGTTTTTTTTGCTTTTGTTTTTGTTTTTGATAAATAGAGATATCTTCTAACAATTAGTATTGCCAATTGACACCAAAAGAGACTAAATGTTGATTCAAAGGGATAGTTTTAAACCAATTTTTCTCTCAACATATATGATAAAAGAAATAATAATTTAGGAGTGGATTACAGTACTTAGCACTAAAAAGAAAGACTTTCTCTACTGTAAAAGTGATATATAGAGGGGGTACAGTTACATAAGTCAGGCAATGAGTAGATTTATTTTTGAACAGGGTCACCCCTCCCTCATGTTCTCCCAGTTTTTCCCTTTCCAACCCCTTTCCCCTCCCCAAGTTGTAAAGTGAGTATCACCGTTGAATTCATTCACCATTTGTCCCACTGTTCAGAATTCCTCTAAAATGGCTGATTCATGGAAATGTTATTGCTGGAATTATTAATTAGATGTATGTGGCGGGTGTAGAATTCAAGTGATTGGAGAAAGATATTCTGGAAATATTCTCCTAAGCCCTTCTCTGTTTCCTGATTCTTTCAGTTATGCCTATTGACCATGTTTACGGCACCCTGGGAATTGTGGGGGCCACTACAACCCAGCACTATTCTGATGTATCAAGACTGAGGGAAGAGATCGAAGGAAAGGGGTCCTACACTTACTTTGCACCGAGTAATGAGGCGTGGGACAACTTGGATTCTGTAATTCCCTATTTTTATTCATATATTTAATGTTTGTTCTTCTCATTTCATTTAAATTGATTAACTTAAGTATTAATAGAAATCTTCTATCTTTCCATTTGCAAATACTTGAGAATATATGAATGCATCAGTTATTGATGAAAGTAAAACACATTCATACAGGCATAAATAGAAATAACTCCCCAAAAGAAATACAGAATTTTTTAAGAGAAATCAAGAAGATTGTAAGCAGGGCTCAATAATAGAGTGCTTGTATAGAAAGCATGAGGTCCTGAGTTCAAACTTTAGTATGGCCTAGATAAACAGATATACAGAATCTAGACTAAAAGAACATTTATTGTTATTGTTATTATTAATATTATCATACTTTATTCCTTTCCTCTTTTTGGTAGTGAAAAATACATGTAACTTCAAATATTTAGTGGGAATGCAAATTAAGAAGCCTAGTGAAATTTGAAATCTATCTAAAGCTATATCATATAGATATAGTTTGTTAGGTGTCCTTAATTATATACAAATATCAATGGCAGTTCAGGGATTTTCATATGTATAAATATGTATACATAGTTATATGAACTGCTGGAATCAATACAGTTGATTTTCAGACATGATGTAAAGTCTAATGTACAGCACACTCAAATGACACAACTATCAAATCTGTAGAACTGGTATACAAATACCTGTTTTCTATTTATAGCTTTTATTTGGTATTAATATAGATTGAAAGTTCCTATTGCTGTCAGATACTTACTCACACATAGGCATATTTCTCTAGCCATTATTTCACCATGTTAGCTATGTGGTTAAAAGCTTGAGTTGTAGCACTCTACCTTATGATTACTCTTCCCCACATCTGTATCTTCTCTAGCTCCCCTTGATGAGTCTTCTTCCCTTCCACAAGAAGACAACATTAAAAAAAAAAAAACTTTTCTGGGAACTCAACTCCACTCTTTTTGTTTTTTTTTTTTGGTTTTTTTTTGGGGGGGGGTCCGGTCGTGGGGCCTGAACCCTGGGCCTGAGCACTGTCCCTCAGCTCTTCACGCTACCACTTGAGTAACAGTGCCACTTCCAGGTCTTTTCTTTTTTGCTTATGTGGTGCTGAGGAATCGAACCCAGGGCCTCAGGCATGCAAGGCAAGCGCTCTACCACTGAGCCACCTTCCCAGCCCTCAACTCCACTCTTTACTTGCACTTCTGATGACTTTAGAGCTTGTAGCTATGAAATGTTTCTTGCTCTTATTTTTTCCTGGAAAACCAAGCCATTTCTAATGTCTATATTCATACCACCTACACCTTGAAGTGAGATGTATTCAATACGCATTCGATGTTCATTCATTCCATAAATACGATTTCTTCTTTTTTCCCAAAATTGGCAGAATCAAACTCAATGTGCAAATTAAACACTGTACATCATTTTCATTTCCCCTCTCTACTTCATACAAACTATTATAATCAATCCTAGCTCATGTTTGATCTATAGTTAATTCTATTAACATTCTTATTTCCACAGAGCTTTGCCACTCAATCAGCTTCTAAATGTCAGTTCTAATTTCTATATTGCAATGTAAAGAACCTTGCAGTGGTTCTTAATTGCCAGTTCCATTTACTCCTTACTCAGGCATTAAGCACTTTTTCATTATTATACTAAATACCTTACCAGATGTCTTCTTCATGTTATCTGGGAAACATAAAAGTGTGGGTTAGCAAAAATGGACAACATCTGTTCTCTCAACACTCATACTACATTAATCAGAGGACTCAGAGTGGCATCAAAGCATTCCTATCCATTTAAGCTTATCTACTGTTGCATGCTTATCTCTAAACTAAGAATAGTTGGCATTTCTCCTTTGACTTCTAAAGCCCTTTATTTTTACCACTGTGCTAAAATCTTGCTTTACTTTTGCCTACTGTAACCATTATGTTAAGATTTCACCTTGCTTACATTTTCCATAACATTGCATACAACACCATGATCTAGCACATAGCATTGATGGTGGTTGAATTCTTGAATTTGTTACTAAATAAGCATAACATCTTTATTAAATCTTGAGTGTTGTATGCATTTTTGTGTTTTTTTCCTCACTTAAAACATTATCTGATAATGTCAGATTCCTCAAGTTTGCCTTGTCAACAATATATTCATTAAAAATTTTGCTTTATCTCTGAAAATACCTAAGCACTCTGAGAGTTTCTGGACACGCATACAATTTAAATTTAAAAATGTCCTTAACCAAAAAAAAAATCCTTAACCAATTCAAGTAATGTCATTTTAAGTATTTTTATCCATTTTACATTGTCAACTATAATGCATTAAGAAAGTAACAAGAAAGTGGAAATAGAGTGATAAACAAAGGAGAAGGTAACAATGCTCAAAAGGAAATGTACTCATTACTTTATTCATGTAACTGTAACCCCTCTGTACACTATTTTTACAATAAAAACATATTAAAAAAAGAAAATCTCAAAAATCTGATAAACTAACACAGACATAAGAAAATAAACTTAAACTTCATTTTTTTTGCAGGATATCCGTAGAGGATTAGAGAACAATGTTAATGTAGAATTATTGAATGCCTTGCATAGCCACATGGTTAATAAGAGGTTGCTGACCAAGGACTTAAAGCATGGCATGGTTATTCCTTCAATGTACAACAACTTGGGGCTTTTCATTAACCATTATCCTAATGGGGTAAGTTTCCTTTGTAAACCATACATTACTCAATTTGTTTTCTTAATTTTGCCTGTCTCTTTTGTATAATGTTCACATAAATTATAAAATTAACATCACATGAAATAGCTATATTAAGACTTCCAAAATACAGGGTATTTTCAATCCAGTTACTGTTTCCTACGAATAATTGTGAAGGATGAATTACATTGGCAGTTCACTAACAGTAGAATTGGATGTCCTAATCTAGGAACATTTTCCTAGTTGATGTGTCTCAAATCATTTTTATAGATAAGCAATAAAGGATCATCAGAGGACATTCCCTAGCTACTAAGTATACTGATTGCCCTTCTCAGGGTTTGGGTCAGACTCGGTGGCAAATTGCCCACAAAATCATAAGATTCTTTCAACAGTCAGATTCCCAGGGACAGAAAATTCAGTATTGAGGCAATAGATAGCAAGTCATTGCAAGAGAACTCATTATCCTGTTGCAATAATTACTTGTCTCTGTCACAAGTTATTTTAGGACGAATTTGAATTATTTATATAACCTACTGACACATTAGAAATAGTTTATGATTATTTCTTTTGAAGAAAGAACAAAAAATAGTTTGGATCATGGTTCTAGATATACTATTTATAGCTCTTACGTCCTGAGCCTGCATGGTTTTCTCTTAGTGGTTTGTGTTTCAGAAATAGCAAAATGCAAGTCAGATTCCACAGTATTTGCATTCAGAATACAGGCTCCTTCATCTGTACTTATTGGGGGGAAAAATTAGGAATGATCATGCTGTTTGTTAGTGGGTAGCTCTGAGTTTCAGTGGATAATTCTGGCTTTACAAATGATTACAGGTTGTCACCGTTAACTGTGCTCGTGTCATCCATGGGAACCAGATTGCAACAAACGGTGTGGTACATGTCATTGACAGGGTGCTTACACAGATTGGTACCTCCATCCAAGACTTCCTGGAAGCAGAAGATGAACTTTCCTCTTTTAGAGTAAGGACAAGGACTGTTTCCTTTTGTATCATTGAAGTCACTCCCTCCCCTTTCCCTGTTAAAATCCAAGAACAACAAAAATACTGCTAAGCAAAACTGATGGGAAAAGTAACAGGTATATTTCATAAGGTGGGAAGATTTACATTTTCTTCAGGAGATATCATCTAACCTGAAGTAATAATGAGTAGGGTATAATTGATCAGTAATGATTCCTTTTGTGTGTCCATCTCAGTTCTTATATGCACTGCTGTAGTTGAATATTGGCAGGATTTTCCCTCTAGAAAACACAATTTGAGGAAAGTTGGAAATGAATGGAGTGTGCCCAAAAAGTAAGGTTGAGATATCTAAAAAGAATGAACAAGGTGTAGATGGAAGTTATCAACTCCCTTATGACTGCTAGGGCAAGTGTGTTGTGATTTTCTTTTTGATTTTTTCAGTGTGCCTGTGTACTGTCTCTAAGATCACATTTGTGTTTCAGACAGCTGCCATCACATCTGACTTATTGGAGTCCCTTGGGAGAGATGGCCACTTCACGCTCTTTGCTCCAACCAATGAGGCTTTTGAAAAACTCCCCAGAGGGGTCCTAGAAAGGATCATGGGAGACAAAGTGGCTTCTGAAGGTAGTACAATGTTTTCCTCCCTGAGAAGCCATCCAGTCCTTGGAGAAGAAGGAGATGAAAAAGAGACAGGTTCTTTTTCAAGAACCAAGAATAGAATCAGCAAAGACTAAGGATAAGGAAAGACAGAAAGTGTGTATTCTGAGGGACACTAAAAATACCTTTAAATATTCAGGTGCTGGTGGCTCATACCTGTAATCTTAGCTACTTAGAGGCTGAGATCTGAGACTCATGGTTCAAAGCCAGCCCTGGGCAGAAAAGCTTGTGAGACTCTTACAATTACAACTAACTACCCAAAAAAGCCAAAAACTGGAGCTGAGGTTCAAGTGGTAGAATGTTAACTTTGACTAAAATAGCTCAGGGACAGAACCCAGGCCCTGAGATCAAGCCCCATTATCTGTACTGTATACACACACACACACACACACACAAATCTTTTTTTAGAAGTTCCTGAAAATGTAGATTGAAAATCTTCAAATATCAATATCCTTAAGATCTCAGTCTTTGTGCTCTTTTGAAAAACTAAGTAGCATTAAATACATATATATTTACATACTCATCTGTGTATATGTATTTATATGTAAATATATCCCTATGCATGTGTGTATATTTATTTGAGGATATAAGTCTATATATAGCATAGTTAAGCCATAGATCCCTCAAAAATCCTCCTAGAAATCATCTTTATTTTGGCTACTAGTAGATACCATCCATAGAGAATTGTCTCTCCTCCAACCTTTACCAAATTCATTGCAAATTACTGACAGGTAGTTAGTCTGTCTCTCAGAAGTAGCTAGTCTCTTACCTCCTGCCAAGCAGAGCTGATTCTGTTGAGGAGTTCATGAGGGCAAGAGGGGTGGAACACATAAACTGTTAAGATGATTAAATCTTCAGCTACTTAAAGATAATAATAAATATGAAGAGTAGTAGTAAATATCTTTAAAGAGAGAGAGCTTTGACTTGCTGGGCAGTACTGTACGACTTGAGTCACAACTTCAACCCTCTCATTCTTTAGGGCTTCCAAACACGTGGTATTTTTTTAGATTCACATATTTTTTCAATGAAACACATCTTTTAAGAGTTCAATGATATTTCCCTTCTTCTTAAAGATGGCTTTTTTTTTCTGTAAATTTCTACACCAGCTCTCATGAAGTACCACATTTTAAATACTCTGCAATGTTCTGAGGCGATCATGGGAGGAGGTGTGTTCGAGACCATGGAAGGAAACACAATTGAGATCGGCTGTGAAGGCGACAGCATCACAATAAATGGAATCAAAATGGTGAACAAAAAAGACATTGTGACAAAGAATGGTGTGATTCATTTGATCGATGAAGTCCTCATTCCTGATTCTGGTGAGCAATAGTTTCCTATTTCCTTAGCTATCAATTATGGTGTCTCATGAGTAAATGCATGCTGAAAAAAATACATGTGCAGTACAAAGAATGGAATGTGAAGCACAAATGCAAAGTGATCTGTGAACTAGTAGAGTAATTAGCAGGAACCCTGGGTAGCTCTGAGCCTTCCATGCATGGAAGGCTGTCTAACATCTACTATTTATAAAGTGCCAGAGTTTTTCTTAGCAACAAAATTTTTTTTAAAAGAGAAATGGTAGACAAGTAAATGAAGAAATCATGGTTCTCCAATGATAGAAAGAAAGTTCTATGGTTATCAGGCTCTCAAAAGGAAAATTGGAACCCTTTTTCCTAAGGAAAGGCAGATCTCTAACTAGATTGATGTTGCAATAAATATCTTAGTGTTGGAAAAGAAGCAAAATTTGATTTACTAATCTCAGGATGATGATAATATCAATGATGCTGTGGTGATGGTTTGTTTTACAGCCAAACAAGTGATGGAACTGGCTGGAAAACAGCAAACTACTTTCACAGACCTTATGGCCCAATTAGGTTTGGCATCTTCTTTGAAGCCAGAGGGAGAATATACTTTGTTGGCACCTGTGAACAATGCATTTTCTGGTATGTGCTGACATTGTTGCTTCTTCTTTCCCTAAAACAGACCTTTGTCCCTTCACCATGAGTATTTGCACTGACCAATAATAGATGTTTGACAAAGTGCTGATTAGTTTGTACATTAGCTACATATACATATACATAGTGCGTATGTATATTCATATACATATACATAGTGTAAATACTACACTGTCTCTATTAAAATGTCCTTCATTTCAAAACATTGCATTTAAAAACTAATCGTAGACTGAGAGTGAAAGTTTGTAATATAGTATTCATTTTTATTGCAAATCTGATATTTCCAGCACACATAGAATGTAGAAAAAGCTCTTAAAAATAAATCTCATTATTGGTTTATTTGATACCAACATAATATTTAGAAATAAATAGGTATATTTTCCATTCCAGTTTGGAAAGTTTAGATATCAAATTATACTTTTAAAATGACATTGATGCACTTCAATATCATGATATGAAATATTGTGCTTTTTCACGTAGTAGTTGATATTGACTGAGAATATTTACATAGTGCAAATTGGTCCCTTTACCAGAAAAATGATTCCCCAAGGAAATCTTTAAATTTTATTATTCATCTTTTAAAAGTCAGTCTTTTATGTTAAATTGTGACATAGAAAATTATTGAGAAAAAACTCAAACTTCTAGAAATACTATTTTCTTCTTTGTAGTGATATTTCATATATTTTGACATGTATAAGTTTAAATTTTTGAGTGCCTTGATTCTATTGCCAGTAATAAAGAATTAAGAAGTGACTCATCGATAATCATTCGTGCAGCTAACAGACATTTAGTTGTCAGAAAAATACTGTGGCCTTTTCCAACGGCCACTATGAAAGTGTGGAGCCCAAGTAGAGATTCAGTCCAGTGTCTAAACTGCACTAAATCATGTTAAAATAATCAGAGGTAATAGGTCACAGAGTTTCCAACTGGTGATCAAATTGCTGGCCTTGAACATTTATTTGACTCTTCTAATGTATAAGTGCTCCACATCAATATTCACTTCATGTTTATCTCATACCTAGAAAAACTCATGTTTCCCATATAAAAAAACATTCTTTCTTCATGAATTTACTCATAGATGATACTCTGAGCATGGATCAGCGCCTTCTTAAATTAATTCTGCAGAATCATATACTGAAAGTAAAAGTTGGACTTAGTGATCTGTACAATGGACAAGTACTGGAGACCATTGGAGGCAAGCAACTCAGAGTCTTCGTGTATCGTACAGTAAGTGAATCAGAACACCAAGCATCCAGATCGGTCCGAATGTCACATGATCCACCCTTGTCAAAGAATTGTCATGACAAATATTTGCCACAATTTTACAAATGTGACTTCAGATAAATGTCCATAGAAAAGTCAGGGAATAAGATAGGCTGTGGGTAAAGTATACTAAAAATATTATGCATTAAAACCTCAGATAATCAGCAGTTATTCCATTAAATAAATAACTTATTTTCTAGATTGTTATTTAAACTCAAAAATGTAATAAAAACTCTTCAATGGGGCTGGGAAGGTGGCTCAGTGGTAGAGCGCTTGCCTTGCATGCTCAAGGCCCTGGGTTCGATTCCTCAGCACCACATAAGCAAAAAGAAAAAG